GACAGAACATTGCTAGAGAGCAGGAAAAGAGGTGAAAGGAGACAATTTTAGAGAAGAAAATATTTTCTGTCGCAACCCTGATTCGAACCCGGGACCTTTGAATGAGAGGTCATCACCCTAACCTCCAGGCCACGAAAGCCCCCACAGCTAGTCTTCTTTAATCTCTGGTTTACACAATCTTACTTCTACTGCCCTACTTAAAGTACCTCCCATAAGAGCTTCATGGTTCACCCAACTTGCATTCATTTTTGTTTTGGACTCAAAATTTATCAACCTGACAATTATTATTTTGAATGAAAGGAAAGGATGTGTAGAGAGAATCAACAACTGTAAGTAAAGTAGCTACCGACAGTTACTGGCTGTAAATCAGAAACGTTTCCATATTGTTGCTCCAGTTTTCCTCGATATATAAGGATATACCTTTATGACTTTCCTATTCTGAACAATTCCACCTTTTTAGCTGCCTCGCTCCTAAAATCGTCCTCATTTCTTCATTGCCGCCCACTCCCTCCCAATAGTGGTTCTTACAGCATGTGACCTGCCTGCCATACCCTTTTGTGGCCTACTTCTTCTCTTGATTTCTTTACCAAAACAAAAGCAAGTGCTATTTGCTTGTTGTATTGCAGTTATCATCAAAAGTATACCCGGTTAATGAGATTAGGCAAGATTCTCACTTAAAAGGCTGACATTTTACTTTTCAAATTTAGCAGGTGATACGATTCCAAATGGCGATTCGTTAAGCGAGTTCTTTTTTCTGTATGTCGTCACTACGATGTCTCCTAACTCTTGAGCTGAAGAAGACAGAGAGGAGAAAAATGGACTGTCTAACCGAATGGACTGGAACGCAGAGGTCTATGGATCGAATGACCTAAACTGCTGGTTGAAATAAAAAGGGCAATGGCCGCGAAAACCTTTTGGCTTGACCTTCAATGGTGATGAAGAAACGATTTGTCGGTTTGATGGCCTTCAAAACACATGATCCAGAGGCACAAAATTCAGCTCGCGAGCGCGTCGTCGCCGCGTGTCAAATAGTCAAAATTTACCAACATTGAAGAAATCGATGCTCATGGTCTGTGTTTTTGAGTGTCAGGTGTGTTTTGTAGCTCCATATTCTATTACCCGGCAGACTGTTAATGTAATGGGTGATTGTAGATATTGCGAAGCAATTGACAACCTTGGAGAAGTTATGGGTCGAAAAAGACCGGGACGTCTGGACATAGATATTATTCTCGAACTCGAACCTCAATTCTCATTCGAGGAACCTGACTGGATCCATACGTAGAGCTGAAAGGGATTGCTGCATCCTCGTTATAGTTCTAACCTTGCTCTACCACACTTCCGTCTGTTAGCTCCACCTCATAAATTGGCGTTTAGCAGACAAGAGATTTACAGAAGATGATGATCTTCTCGAACAGGCAAAAGGTAGACTGGATTCACTCGGTCAGATTTTTTAAACGGAGGAATATTGTTATTTGATCAGCCGTTGGAAGCAATGCATCAATCTTCATGGGAGACCTTGGTTAGACTGTTGTTTGTCACATGATGTGTAAATTTTATTCAGATCCAGAAAAAATTGTTTATGCTATGGCCATTTTAACCTTGGGTTTCGGACAGCACATATCATTTGCTATGCTTTCTTTTCCCGTTCCTTTTCTGGATATTCATAATATAAAAACACGCATGGTTATGTATTTAGCTCTGACACTGTCACCCAGGACTCAGGAGCGAATGATCCAGGATCGAATCTGACATGGGGCATTTCTAAGCTACTGTACTTTGGGAATTTGGGATTTTTTTCCCCCAATCAGTACATCTACTTAGCTCAGTCTTTTGGGCGCGGGAGTTTTAATCGGAGTTTCCGCCTCTTAAATTCCTTACAACATTGTAAGGGGCTTTAAACCTGCACCATACTGAATATTTTTAAGCTCGATTGTAGCAACATTCAGAACAGTCGGAGTTTCTGGAACAGATTGTGACAAGGCAACGACTATTTCCTCACACTGCAGCTTACCAAGCTGGGTTGTGAGTTTTTGACATGGTATACTCGTTCTTTGTCCTCCAAGGAGTCAGGTGGGGCATCAAGTTCAGAATCTAGATCTTACATAGGCATTCGGAGAGGAGGGTGGTGTTGATTCAGAAATTTTCGTTTCACATCTTCATCTAAGGGAGAAAGCGTCTTTCTGGGCTTGCATCATGTTTCCTTCTTACTAAGCCCTGTAAACAGATGCAATACAGATGCGGAGATTGAAATATATATAAAAAGTGAAGGGAAAATGCCCAGAATAACCTTTTTTGCGTGTTTTTAATTTCCTCAGGTGCCAAGAGATTTCTCTTACCTATTGCCCTACAACAATCTTCAGGACGGAGAAGGATACAGCGCCATTGACGTATCCAGAGGAGGCTACGTGCAAGAGTCAGTTTCTCCCCTTTTGCCTGTCAGGCCCAGTATACATAATCACACAATGTGTGTTTGTTTGTTTGTGTGTGTGTG